CCCCAAAACCCCAAAACCCCAAAACCCCAAAACCCCAAAACCCCAAAACCCCAAAACCCCTAATTGTGGAGAAATATTGAGAATTGTAATTTTAGGTGGGTTTAAGTAATTTTGAGTGGGTTTTGAGGATTTTAAAGGGATTAAGGCTTTGTGATTGGGAGAGGAGTGAGAGTTGGAATGGAGATAGGGATGATTATTTTTGGGTGGAGGGAGCTAGAAGTTAGAGGAGAGGGTACTTTGGGCTCAGAGGTTTGCGAGGGTTTTCGAATTTTGTCTATAGGGTTAGAGGAAGTTGAAAAATGGGTACTCCTATTATTCCGATTGCTATAGGTTATTGGCCTTGGTTACTATTGGGGCTTGGAGGAGTGAAGAATAAATCTCGGTTTGGCGATTTCTTTGATGATGCATCCTTCTTTAGCCTGGAAAATTATTTAATGTGAGAAGAGTTACTTAGAAAAATTCGAGTTTCTTATCAATTCATCTCTAAAATTTTCTGATAAACTTTTCTTCTGACGTTTCTTCAATCCATTTTCATTAATTTTAGTGAAATTATTTAATCTGATATCTCTATTAAGGATCTAAATGTTACCTAAATCCTCACTCGTAGTAATTCATTGCTAGCTTTAATAGATGCTTTACTTTCATCATTCATTATTAAAGAATGCAATTTCTTCTTGAAGTTTAAACCTGTAATTTTGTGTCGGCTTTTCAACCCTTTTAATTTCTCTTGATAGTAACTAGGAGATCTAGTACGATCAATGCACTTCTCTAGAGAAGTAGGGGACTTGTTCTTTAAGCATCAAGAATTACAAAATTTCCCTGGGCTTTCTTTACTATTCCCGGGAGAGTTACTCAACACCCGTTTATGTCTCACTAAATTTCTTCGTGGACTCATCATTCTGAAGATGTATTTTGGTAGAACTCTGTTTCCAATGTTATCTAATTAAATAAATTAGAGGAATGCTTACTTTCTAGTTTTCTCAATCCAGAGTTAAAGTTGAAGTTTATTTGGGTGGGTCACTGATGAACTCGTTTATCTCTCTCAGTCATAGTAAAGTTCTTCGTCCCGTTCATAAAGTTGTTCCTGGTATATCTCAAATTCTTAGATGTATTGAATTCAGAGTTTTTATTTATCAAACGCAGCAGCCAAAGTTTTGTTATTGAAATTATTTGCTTGAATGTTTATTTTAGATAAGTTTTCCTGAAAATTAACGGGAAAATTACATCCAAATATTGCTGAATTTTAATGATTTTCTGAACCTTAGAAGTTTGTTCACTAGTCAAATCCTGGGCTTTAGAAGATATCATACCTTATAATTATGTGCAAAGTTCTTCTTCTTTCTTATTTTTCTGTCTAAATCTAATTTTTATTAAAATATTGGAAATGAAGGAAAAAAATAGGAAAGTAAAGGATAGAAAGCAGGAAGCTTGGTTATCTCATCATCAGCGCTTTACTAAGAGCTCAAAATTGATTGTTATCATTTAGTAGTCTTGTAGTATAAGATCGTTTTAGTTCAGCTGAACAATTATTGTTATCTCTAATCAGCAGATGAAATGATTGGAATTGTCAAATATTACTACAAGCTATTAGGTTTTGCTCTTATTTACCTGCTTTAAAATGAATATCTGATGTCTTAATAGTTAGAGGTGCCTTCATCTTTTTCATTTATATTAAAATATTCAATAGATAAAAACACTTATGGGGTTTTGGGGTTTTGGGGTTTTGGGG